GCTGACCTAGGGCACGCCGAGGGGTCTGCCAACCTTGCTTTCCTGGGCTGTTCTCTGTTCCCATTGCTGAGGTCCAGAACACCTCCCACCTCCCGGCATGAACCAGAGGGGATAGCAGGAGCCCTGAAGACTCTGCTGCCCCCATCCCTAGGATCCGGCACAGGGTGGGGGCTGGCTCTGTGTAGGTGGGGTATTGGCAGAGATGGGAGAGCAGAGGGCAGGTGGCAGCACCTTGAGCCAGGGAACTCTGGGCTTGCAGATGGGTGTGCCAAGGATAAAGAACCCTTAATAGACTCTGGGGGTCTCCAGCCATACCTCCCCAACAAATGGGGAGGACACAGAGAGACAAAGAGAGACAGAGGGAGAACCAGAGAGAGACAGAGACAGGGAAGGGGCAGAGCTCCGCAGGAGGGTTTGCCCCTCCTTGATGGCCCTGTGATGGGTGGGGAGACCAGCTTTCCTCTGGTCTTCCTGTTTCCAGGGCTCGGCCTGCACCTGCTGTGAGTGGGTGGTAAGGAGGATGCTGGGAGGGTGCATGGGCTGGGGAGGTTATGGGACCCTATACCGGGGGGGGCAGGTGCTGGGTAAAGCTGGGGGTGCTGAGGCTATAGGGCCTGGGAGGAACTAGGGAGAAGGCCCAAGTCCCCAGGAGCCAGGACAAAGCTGGGATTCCTCCTCAGATGAGCATCCCAAGTGATCCCAGGCCCTGTATAGATCAGGAAGCCTCCCACTGAGTGGATCAGGCGTACTGGCATTCTTCTACTGGGGTGTTGGGTGATTTCTTGTTAATCTTTTGAAAGCCAGCAGGTGCAGGGTGTGAGGGGTGTGGTCTGGGTAGTTGCAGCCTCATACCTGATACTGGGTAGTGTCAGTATCTATAAGAGGGACAGACCTAGAATGTTCCCCTGAGCTCCAGTCTCCAGAAGGGACACAGAACACCCCAGTAGCAGCTTTAGGACCCCAGGTGATCTGCTGAGAATTGGGTTGGGAGGGGTGTGGGGGTCAGGGCACAGCGAGGAGTTGATCTGGAGACTCCAGGACTCGGGGTGCAGGGAAGCTGAAGGCTATTCCCAGGCCCCACTTGGTTGCGGGTCTGCATGTGTGTCTGTGTGCACTCCCAGAGTTGGCAGCCATGGGCAGGAGCTAAGAAGGCAAGGGGGGGGCGAGCACTCCAATTGGGGAAGGTATGGCGAAGGTGTGGGGGCGGGCCTGTTCCAAGAAGAGATGGGAGCTTAGTTGTGGGAGATGTATGAGATGTGACTTTGGAGCTTCCGACCACAGATGTCTCACCTCTGGGGAGTCAGCCCCTCGGCTAGGGGCTGCGGCCCCAAAATGACTGTTGCTTATTTGTTGGACAGTCTTGCTCTGTCTCCTGGGCCAAAGAGCGCTGGCATGATTATAGCTTGCTTTAATTTTAAACTCCTGGGGTCAAGTGATCCTCCCACCTCAGCCTCCCAAGTAGCTAGAACTACAAGTGCCTGCTACAATGCCTGGCTAATTTTTGTATTTTTTGTAGAGATGGGGTTTTATTATGTTGCTCAGGCTGGTCTTAAACTCCTGGTCTCAAGTGATCCTCCTGCCTCAGCTTCCCAAAGTGCTGGGATTACAGGTGTGAGCCACCATGCTCAGCCACCAATAAATGTTTTTAACGAGCTTCCAGGTGAGTCTGATTGTTCAGGAAGGTAAGCGATGGATAGGGAGGACCCAGGGGAGGGGGTCTTCAGTGGGGGCATGTCTGAGTAGCCTACAGCCCCTCCAGTCTGCCTTCCACAGTGTCAGCAGACCCTCAACCACTTGGTCCAGTGGTCAGTCTGTTAGTCATCCATTTTTTAGAGAAATGTGCTTTTTTTTTTGTTGAAAAAGTTATGAAAGTAATACACACAATACCTATTTATTAGAGAACGTTTAGGGGGAAAAATGACAGATTGAAAAAAATCAAAACCATCTATAATCCCCTCACCTAGGGGCCAGCACCATTTACGAAATTAATGTACATATTCAGCAATATGCATTTTAACGTATTCAACAAGTCCTTATTAAGCCCCAAATTTGTTTGCAGGAGTGGGATGGAGCAAGGGAGAAGCCGGCTACAGAGAGCAAACACACACATGCACGCACACACACAAAAGTGGTATCCTATGATCTGCACCATTTAGTTACCTAATCATTATCCACAGTGCAGCTCTCCGATGTAACAGATACATACATATTTAGCTTAACATTTTTATTTTAAAATCTTTAAATAAAAATACAAGCAGAAGACAAAAATTTAAAAAGAACAAACAGCTATATAGTCTTCCACCATTTACCGTTAACATTTTGGGCTTGTTGGGAATTTTTATGAATAGCATTTATATGTTTCTTTTTTCACAACTATGCGTATACTGTAGCTACTTCTTGGCTTTTGCTTTTCTTACCCAACTATAGTCTGGAGCCCACACGCTTCCCTGCCACCACCCACAGATCTCCGTCCTTCTATTTAGGATGGATGTGTAGCAATTGAGTCATTCTCTTAAATGTTTAGCTTGTGTCCAGTTCTTCACTTCCTTGTAAAGAGCTTTAGTGAATGCTCTTGTGCATGCATGTCGTCTTCTTCATGATAAATTCCTAGGAGTGGAAATGTTGGGTCAGACAGTCAGTATATTTTATTTACTTTTATTATTGTTTCAGGTTAATTTGAGAGTACAAAGAATTATATTACAATGCTTGCGTTTGTTAGGTGGAGTCCCTGTTGTAGTTGTGTCCTGCCCCCAAGAGATGTGCCGTACACCCTAACATCCTGCCCATTAAGTGGGAGCACACCCGTCCCTCTCCCTCCTCCCCTCTCCCCACTCCCTTGTTCCCCCGCCCCCCACCTTGAATTGATTTGAGTTTTTCTCTTATGTGGGTGTGTATTAGATCGTCTACTGGCTTCATGTTAGAATTGAGTACACGTGATACTTGCTTTTCCATTCTTGGGGTACTTTACTAAGAAGAATGTGTTTCAACTCTATCCAGGTTAATACAAAAGCTATAAAGTCTCCATCTTTCTTAATGGCTGAATAGAATTCCATGGTATCCATGTCCAGTTTATTAATCCATTCCAGAGTTGGTGGGCATTTAGGTTGTTTCCCCTTTTGACAATTATAAATTGAGCTGCGATTAAGAATCTAGTGCAAATGTCTTTATGATAAAATGATTTTTTTTCTTCTGAGTGGATGACTGGTAGTGAAATTGAGGGATCAAATGGGAGGTCTAAAGTGAGTTCTTTGAAGATTCTCCATACTTCCTTCCAAAGAGGTTGTATAAAAAATATGGAACACTTCACAAATTTGCAAGTCATCCTTGTGCAAGGGCCTTGCTAATCTCTATATTGTTCCAATTTTAGTACATGTGCTGCCCAAGCGAGCACCAGGCTGTGTTAAAGGCTGTTCACGTCCAGTGCCTCTGGGTGGGCTGCGCCAGTTTACTCTCCTGCCAGCAGAGGGAGCTCCTCTTTCCCTGGAGAATCACCAGCACTGGGTGTTACAGTATTCTTTTGAATTTTGCTCAATCTGATTCAAAACATGCTACCTCAATGTTGTATGAATTTGCCTTTCTTTGAGCCTTTGGTGAGGTTGGACCTCTTGTCTTACACATGTGGATCATTTTCCTTTTGTGAACTGTTACTGTTACATTTGCAGTGAATTTTACATTTATAAGAGATATTTATTAATACATGTAAATACAGAGGATACCAAAATATGTATACACATTTTAAGAAAGGAAAAAAAGTATTAAAATTATACTACTCAATATATACCAAAAACAAAAGATGAATTGAAGTCACAGCGAGCACCTCTTGTAATTGCAGAAGTCACATGTGACTTGAGTATTACAAACTTAATATAGTTTTCTCCTTTCTTAAAATGTGTACACATTTTAAGTACACATTTTTGGCACCCTGTGTATATTCACTTTTATCTGTCATATGTCTAGAAAATATCTCTCCTCTCTCTAGTTTAGAGTTTATCTCTAAGTTTGCTTATTTGGAATACAGTACTTTGGTGTCCTAAATATTTAATAGTAGTGTGTAAAAATAATATGATTTTAAAAATATTTATAATTTTATTTAATTGTTTCAACATAGCAATTAAATTTTGTTTTTTAGTCTTTGGAGTCACACTTAGAGTGATCTTCCCCATACTCAAGATTATGTAAATATTCATCAATATTTCATTCTGATAATTAAAAAATATATACCTTCTTAAGAACTTTTTTTTTTTGAGACAGAGTCTCACTATGGCATTCTTGGTAAAGTGCTATGGTGTCACAGCTCACAGCAACCTCAAACTCTTGGGCTTAAGCGATTCTCTTGCCTTAGCCTCCCAAATAGCTGGGACTACAGGCGCCTGCCACAACACTCAGCTATTTTTTTGTTGTTGTTGCAGTTGTCATTGTTGTTTTAGCTGGCCTGGGCTGGGTTTGAACCCATCAGCCTTATTGTATGTAGCTGGCAACCTACCCACTCAGCTATAGGCACCCCCCACCTTTTAAAAACTTTGACCTTTAATCTATCTGGAATTTATTCTCATGTAAGATAGGAATTTAACTTTTTTCTCCCAATGTTTTCCCTGATGTTTTTATATTATTTATTGAATTTATTACTATTTATTATCTTCCTATCCTTTACTGTACTAAATTCCCATTGTCTTAGGGTCTATCTTATCAACATGCTTGTCTCTTTCTCTTTTAGTATCTTTTTGATTTAATGAACATAGTTTTATACTCTATTTTGTTCCGGGGTGTCCAAACTTTTGGCTTCTCTGGGCCATATTGGAAGAAGAAGAGTTGTCTTGGACCACACACTAAATACACAAACACTAATGAAAGCTGATGGGAAAAAAAATCCATGCGTAATTTTCATGATATCCATCACCACAGATAAGCAAAAAAAAAAAATCCTTACATAATTCTCATGTGGCTCACAGGCCATAGGTTGACCACCCTTGTAAGGGCAAACCTTCTCATTAATTCTTTAAGAATTTTTTAGTGATTCAAATACACTTGTATTTCCAGATGAACTTTAGAATTATTTCAGTTGAAGAAGAAAATTCCACTGATGTTTGTACTTGTGTTAAGTTTGTACATTACTTTGGAGAAGATGGACATTTTTGTAGGAATCAATCCTTCCATCTAGGAAAATGCTCAGTTTTTACAAAGCTCTCCCTACTTATTTAAAAGTTCATCTATGTCCCTCAGTGAAGTTTTTAATGTTATTTTTAAAGATCCTTGTATGTTTCTGGCTATGGTTATTTCTAGGCATTTAGTACTTTTAAATGGCTGTACAGTTTTTTTTTTTCCTCATTATATTGTCTAATTGGTTTGCTTCTGAAATATGTTTTGATAGAAAACTTATTTCTTTCTACTTTTCTAACCAGTAGACATTTTACCAAACCCTCTTTTTAGTTCTACTAATTTTTTATTTGATTGTTTTGGATTTTACAGGCAAATGATATCATCATCTGAAAATAGTGATATTTTCTTTTCCAATATTTAGACTTTGTATTAAGCCTCTGGTCAGCTTTGATTATTTCATCCAGCAGGTTACAGTCTAGGTCTGGGAATCATGGGTAACCTCAGGTATGGCTTAGTAACCTGGGCACCTCCTTCACCGTCTGGGCTGTGTCCAAGAGTAGGGGAGGGCAGTAGTTTCCTCTTATTCACAGTTTTGCTTTCTGAGGTTTTTAATTACCCATGGTTAACCACAGTCTAAAAATATTAAGTAAAAATTCCCAAAATAAATAATTCCTAAGGTTTAAATTTGAAGATGTCCTAAGTAGAATGATAAAATTCTGCATTGTCTTGCTTGGTCCCACCTGGGACATGAATCTTCCTTTTGTGCAGTAGATTCACACTATCCATACTGCCCATCTGTTAATCCCTTAGTAACTGTTTTGGTTACCTGGTTGGCTGTTGTGGTTTTGCAGTGCTTGTGTTCAAATCACTCATATTTTACTTAACTGTCCTGAAGCACAAGAGTGCTATGTCTGATTTATAAATTCAAGTTTATTGTAAGTATGTATGTGGAGGAAAAAACATAGTATAAATAGAGTTTGGTACTACCATTTCAAGTGTCCACTGGGGGGTTTGGAATGGATCTCCTGGGACTAAGGCAGGACTCCTGTGTATAAATGTATTTATGTCACGAAGACAAAAAAGAGGACAGCTGAGCCAACATGACCAAGACAACATTGTATCACAGTTGCCATCACAGATGTCCTTGTCAGCAACCTGGTCTGGTTCATACACCTGCCACCTGTGCTTCACTCTTAAAAAGTCTGCATCATATTTAAGTTGAGAATGGGCATTAAATGTGATGGATTACACAAGAAGATTTTCCTTATCTGAAGGAATTTCTGCATACTGGAATAAATGCTATTTAATCATGATGTAGTGTATTTTTAATGTTCTACTAGATTCTCTTTGATAGCATTTGATTTTGTATTTTTTCCATCAATATTTACAAATGCGATTATTTTATAGGGTTTACAAATCTGTCTTTGTTGAGTTATGGGATTAGATTTTTACTAGCTTCACAAAATTATAAATGAAACTTCCTATCTTTTCATGTTCTTTGGAAAATTATAAATTATATGTGAATTATCGGTTCTTTGAGAGAACTCATAAAACTATCTGGGTCTTGTGCCATTTTATGGCCATCTTTTTAAAACTAAAATTTTACTATGCCACAAGCTTTTGACAACTTTCTCATTGATCACAGGATAAAGTGAAAATGACACAAAGGTACAGTATAATTTACTCTGCATCAGCTCTCATTACCTTCTATCCCTTACTTTATACCCCAGCCATACCTAACTTCTGGAAATTCCCCCAAACTCTACAGCGAGAGACCAAGAGGGTGGGATGGAATTTTGGTTTGTTCAGTATGGAATCTCTGGCACTGTGAAAAAGCTTACCTTTGACCGGTATTCTCTAGATTCTTGTGGAATGATATACACTCTATACATGTTCACTGAAAATGAACATGTTCTCCTCTGTGCTTGATCATATTCTGGTCCTGGAGGAAGAGTCCCAGCCCCTATCTTCAAGTTGTTGTCTGACTACTGAGGAAATAGGTAGGTAAGTAAACAGACCTTTATAGACAATGGGATAAGTGCAGGGAGGGAGATACGTATGGACATATGGGAGCACCCAGAGGGGCCATCTGGGAAGAAGAGATCAAAGGTGACTTCTAGGAGGAGGTGATCCTGGATTTAGTCTTACATAGTGAAGAGAAGCAGGGATAGGTAATTCCAGGCTAAGAGGATGCCATGAGCCAAAGACCAGAAGGAAGAACCATTGTCTCTTATGGGGATGATTGTTACTTGTATCCTAACATGTGTTCCTGGGTGCTCAGGACTTCCAAATCAGCATAGGCGGCAGAGTGAAGCTTTTGAAATGTGTTGCATTACTTTACTGAAAACCCATTAACAGCTTCTTAGCTCACTCCAGATAAATTCCAAAGTCCTAACTATGAATAACAAGATCCCACACAATCTGGCCCCATGTTTCTCTGTGTTTACCTTATCACTCCATTCCAGCCATTGCTCTCTCTGGGACAACCTGAACACTCCCAGCTCAGGACCTTTGCACAGTCTGTTCCTTCTGCCCGGAAACCTGTCACTTTCTTCAGGTCTCTGTTCAAATGTCATTAGTGAGTGAGGTTCTCCTTGACTCTTATATAATATGACAACTCACTCATTTATTCTTTTTGTCATTATCCTGTCTTAGTTTTCTCTGTACTAGTAATGTCACCTGATACTACACACACACACACACACACACACACACACACACAATGATTTTTAAATTAAAAAAAAATTTATAGGGATTTTGCCTTGTTTACTCTTTTTTTTTTTTTGAGACAGAGTCTCAAGGTGTTGCCCTGGGTAGAGTGCTGTGGCGTCACAGCTCACAGCAGCCTCAAAATCTTGGGCTTCAGTGATCCTCTTGCCTCAACCTCCCAAGTAGCTGGGACTGCAGGCGCCCACCACAACACCCGGCTATTTTTTGGTTATAGTTGTCATTGTTTGGTGGGCCTAGGCTGGATTTGAACCCATCAGCTCCAGTGTATGTGGTAGGTACCCTAGCTGCTTGAGCTATAGGTGCCAAGCATGCCTTGTTTACTCTTGCAGCTCCAGTACCTAGATTACCATCCAGAAGAATGTGCTCAATGCCCCTAAGCAGTCAGGCGTGGCTGGAAGCAGAGTGCAGAGGAGGGTGAAAGAGGACTCGGTCCAGGCACCAGTAGATAGCAGAAGCCTGGGCAGGACCTTGGATGATGGTTGAGGAGCCTGGACCTTCTGGAGGTGACCAGGATAGGGTAACAGGGTCAGACTCATGTTAGGGATGGTCATAGTGCCTATCAGG